CCCAGCCAAGGGTTTTTTAAAAGAAGAAAGCACTGAAGTATGCCACATTAATTGGCTCTTTCTTCAATGGAAGATTTCTCTATAGCATCTGTTGCTACATAGTAGCATTTTACCCCACAGCAGAATTCCTTTCAGAATTAGAGTTATTCCTTTCAAACCCTGCTGTTGCTTTAGCAACTAAGTATATGCAATATCCTAAATCCTTTGTCGTCATTTCAGTATAGTTATAGCATCTTCACCAAGAGTAGATTCCATCTCAAGAAACCTCTTTTCTTTGCTCATAAGCAGTTCCTCATCTCTTAGTTTTACCAGATGGTTATAATTCAGTTTTTTAAAATGTACTTTTAAAATTCTAATTCTCACACTTTTTCTTACATCTGAAGTTATTTCCCACTGAATTTAGGAACCCTTCAAAGTCATCCATAAAGATCGGAATGAACATCCAAACTCCTGTTCCTGGTGGTACTTTGAGTTTTCCATAAATCATGAATGTTCTTAGTGGCATCAAGAATAGGAAATCCATTACAAAAGCTTTTGAGATTTCTTCATCCAGATCCATTAGATTTGTAATCACTAATCTGTGACAGCTGTGACCTTAGAAAGTCTTTCTTAAATAAGATGACTTGGAAGTAAATAAGTATTCCTCCTTGGGTTGTAAAATAGAGTGTGCTTATTGGGCATGAAGACATTCATCTCACTGATTATCTCTGTGAGAGCTCTTTGTAACCAGGTCCATTTCCAGTGAATAATAATATTTTGTGAGGAATCTTGTTTTGTTTCTGAGTAGTTCTCCGACTTGGGCTTAAAATATTGGTAAATAGATGTACGTCATCATCTGAACTTTATTGTTGTGCTCACAGCACACAGGTAGAGTGAATGTGGTCTCATTCTTAAGGGTGCTAGGGGTTTTGGAACGGTAAACAAGCATTGGATTGAACTTGAAGTCAAGGACAGCATTAGTCCCTAACAAGAGAGTCAGCCTGTCCCTTGAAGTTTTGGAGCCAGGCATTGCCTTCTACCTATGAAAGCTGCAGATGGCCTCTTCCTCCAGTAGGCGGCTGGCTGTCTTGTCTACATTGAAGATGTGCTGGGCAGTCAGCTGCCTTGACTTCAGCTGGACCTTTTGTGTGTCTCACTGCAGCTCCCACATGAGCACTCGCAGCAGCGTAGGTTGCACTTTATGTTGTGGCACCACTGCTTTCCTTAAGCCTCATGAACCAAATCTGCTAGTTTCAAAGTTGTCTTTGGTAGCTTCCTACTCCCTCTCAGCCTTTTTATGTAGACATGGACCTTACTTGGGATTAGGGTTCAGCTTAAGTGCATGTGTGGCTTGTTTGATCTTGTGTCCAGATCACTAAAACTTGTCCATCAGCAGTGAGGCTGTTTGATCTCTGACCATTTCTGTGTTCACTGAAGTAGCACTTTTCATTTCCTTTAGTAATTTTCCCATACATTTATAACTTTGGTTCTTTGATGTAAGAGGCCTAGCCTTTGGGTTCCGATGTGCTTTCTCACTACACTTAATCATTTCTGGCTTTTGGATTGAAGTGAGAGATGTGACTTCTTTTCATGTGAATACTTACTTAGAGGCTGATGTAGGTTTTTGTTTTTTGGGTTTTTTTTTTAATGTAGGTTATTAATAGCCTCATTTCAGTAGTGTATCTTAAGCTCTGTGTTCCCTGTGAGCAGTTCAGGGCAACCCAAAACTATCGTAGTAGTAACCTTATACATCAGTAATCAGCGGTAAGAGATGTAATAATACAGAAAAACTTTGAAATATTTTGGAAATTACCAAAAAGTGACACAGAGGACACAGAGATGTGAAGTGAGCACATGCTCTTGGGAGGATGGTGCTATCACTACTTCTTGTTGTAAGGGTGCAGCAGATCAGTTTGAAAAAAAAAATGTATCTGTGAAGTGCAGTCAAGTGAAACCACAATAAAATTAAATCTGTGTTTTTCCTGTTCATTCTTACTGCAGATCTTAGCAGTGTCAGCATGCGGTTTTTTTCTTTCTTTCTTTTTTTTTTTTTTTTTTTT